CATGTGAAGTTCACACATAGTATGGGATGTCCTATATAAGAACTGACCATTGTTATTTTCTACTTATTAGAAATAGGGTCCTTATAACACTTTAAATCATATTAATACCCCATTTCTCCAAAACAGTGCAGTAAGAAGGTTTAATGTGAAGTACACACATAGTATGAAATGTCCTGTATAAGAACTGACCATTGTTTTTTTCTACTTATTTAAAATAAACTCTTTACAGTACTTTATATTATGTTAATACCCCGTTTTTTTTAAATGCTGCAGTAAAAAGCTTTTATGTGAAGTACACACATAGATTAGCATGTCCTGTAAAAGATCTGACCATTGTTTTTTTTCTACTTATTTGAAAGGGAGTATTTATAGTACTTTTTCTATGTAATACCCTGTTTCTCCAAAATGCTGCAGTAAAAAGGTTTCATGTGAAGTACACATATAGTCTGGGATGTCCTGTGTAAGAACTGACCATTGTTTTTTTCTACTTATTTAAAATGCGGTCTTTATAGTATTTTATATTATGTTAATACCCCGTCTCTTTAAAATGCTGCAGTAAAAAGGTTTTATGTGAAGTACATATAGTATGGGATGTCCTGTATAAGAACTGACCATTGTTTTTTTTCTACTTATTTAAAATGGGGTCTTTATAGCACTTTATTTTATGTTAATACCCCATTTCTCTAAAATGCTGCAGTAAATAGGTTTCATGTGAAGTGGAGATATAGTATGGGATGTCGTGTATAATAACTGACCATTGTTTTTTTCTACTTATTTAAATTGGGGTCTTTATAACACTTTGAAATATAATATTATACAATTTCTCCAAAACACTGCAGTAATAAGGTTTCATGTGAAGTCCACACATAGTATGGGATGTCCTGTGTAAGAACTGACCATTGTTTTTTTCTACTTATTTAAAATGCGGTCTTTATAGTATTTTATATTATGTTAATACCCCGTCTCTTTAAAATGCTGCAGTAAAAAGGTTTCATGTGAAGTACATATATAGTATGGGATGTCCTGTGTAAGAACTGACCATTGTTTTTTCCTACTTATTTGAAATGTAGTCTTTATAGCACTTTTTATTAGGTTATTACCCCGTTTCTCCAAAACAGTGCAGTAAAAAGATTTCATATGAAGTACACATATAGCATGGGATGTTCTGTACAGGAACTGATCATTGTTTTTGTCTACTTATTGGAAATTGGGTCTTTATAACACGGAGTAATGTTAATACCCAATTTCTCCAAAACACTGCAGTAACAAGTCTTTATTTGAAGTTTAGAGTGTGATGTCCTGTATCAGACCTGACTATTGTTTTTTTTCTACATATTTTAAATGAGCATTTTTTGTCCAAATTGCTGAAGTAAAAAGTATTTAGATGTAGTATATATGCAAATAGCATGTGACATCCAGTATCAAACCAGATCAGTCTTTTATTTAACTTATGTCAAACAATGTATTTATGCACTTTAAAGACTTTATAGCTCAATAATAGCACATTTCTCCAAAATGCTGCAGTAAGTTATTATGAGGTATGCATATAATATTGGATGTCCTGTCCATTGTTTTCTTCTGCTCACCTGAATGAGGTCTTTTACATGAGGTATGCATGTACATCCTGTATCAGAACCAAACTGTTGTTTTTCTACTTATTTCTTTATAGCACTTTAAAGTGTGTTAATGGTACATTTCTCCAAAATGCTGCAGTAAAACAGGCTTCATATGATGTATGCTTAGTATTTGACTTCCTGCATCAGATCTTATTGTTGTTCTATTCTACTTATAACAAATAATAAGGTCTTTACAGTCATCTAAAGTGTAATAATGCCCCATATCCCATATACTGAAAGAAGCATACATTTTTAAATCCCCTTTAAATGAAATAAACATATATTTGTAATTCAAACAATGTTTTGTTGGACTACTTTATGATTGTTTTCACTTTCTGAGGTTAGCCACGTTGTATAAAATTGCATTTAACCTTATTTGCAATGTACTGTAGTTGGCTAGGAGAAGTAGAAACGTATTCTGTGTATTTAGAAATCGTATATTTATTCTGTCCGTTTGATCTGCTATAAAATCATTTGAAGCAAAAAGATAAACTTGAGGAAATTAAAGGTAAGCCCAGAAACCAATTTCTTAAAATAACAACAGTCAAACAAAGCTAATAAATTGTTTAATAAAGCATACGTGGGAGGAAAGGGGGATAAACTTATATTTCGTTGTTATCTCTCTGTTCTGGGCGAAATGGATGCTCTCTGGAGCGCTCTCTGTGTGGCTGCTGACATTACCGTAATGATAATAATACGCGCGCGCCGAAATATAAAGCGCGGCTGGCATGACTGTGTTTTTCCGAACCGCGGCTGGCTTGACCGCAGTACCGATCCGATATGGAACAGTTTATAAAAACGGTGCCTGCTCTGCTTGCACAATAAATTTGAGAACTGTGTGCTGTTGTCTTACGCAAAAAGGGATCTTTCACCTCTTGGAGTTTCGGCCAAGAGTTCACTTCCTGGTACAGTCACGTGACAACGTGATATGCTACGTTACGTCAATGTTTTTTTTTTTTTTTTTTTTACAATAAAAAGTATATACTTTTAAGTGTGTGACTGGAGAGTTTGCAATATTTGGGATATGCTGCTTTATTAAGGATCAGTTATGTTGCTTAAATACATGTCCTGTCATTCATCTTGTTATATTATCTACTTTTCCTTTCACTTTTCCACAGAAACAGTAGCATTATTCTGCCATTCGCGGCTCTTTTTATGGAGAAAAAAATACGTGTTTGCATAATTATGCATTCAGGCGTTTGCATAATTATGCATTCAGATGTTAATGACCAAACACGTTTTTTAAATAAATCACGGTTTTGCTGCAGATATAGTATAACACGAAAAACGTGAAATAATGTGTTCCAGAAGGACGAGGGTAGATTTTAACTAAGATACAGCTTTAATAAAACTCGAGCTCCATGTTTGTAGTTTGTAAGACTATAGGCTTTTTTCTGTAAAAGAGTTTCAAAGTTATACTGCATTTCAGTAAACAAAATATATATACATATATAAAAAAAAGGTTTTTGGTTCGGAAATTTACATTTATGTACATAAAATTTTGTTAATAAGATAAGAAGACTAAAGAAATATATTTTGGTTTTATGTTTAAGGTTCTGTTTAGTTTTGCAATTAACCAAACCCAATAAAACATTTTCCCATAAGGAAAAGTCTTTATTAATGTTCTCAATTACAAAAAGGGAAAACTCTTTCAGAAGCAAATTAGAATAACTGCATTGCCCACAATAACAGAAAACATAATAACATTGAAAATTATGCAAAAATTCTCAATCTTTACATAACTTTAACATAAGAGCAAAATACAATATACAAAAATACAATACAAAAATTATAATTAATAAATAAACAAATGGTTTCATAATAAATAAATAGAAATAAAATACCCTATATTTCCCAGTGATGGGTTGCAGCTGGAAGGGCATCCGCTGCGTAAAAAATATGCTGAATAAGTTGGCGGTTCATTCCGCTGTGACGACCCCAGGTTAATAAAGGGGCTAAGCCGAAAAAAGAAAATGAATGAAAATAGTCTAAATGAAGACAAATAAGTAAAATTACTGATGTTTATTAATTTTTAATTTGTTTATCAGGATCCCTATTTGCCACTACCAATGTAGTGGCTATTCTTCGTCAGGTGATTTAGAGATCATTCATTAATTTGAATTTTCAAACACGATGCACTAAGATTTGTTTTCATTCAGAAAGAGAATATTCTGTGACTGTTAAAAATTTGATCTCAACTAAATACCTGTATAGAGATTCAAGTGTATCTGAAGAGTTGGATGCATCAGGGCGATAAGGAAACTCACGCAAACACAGGGAGAACATGCAAACTCCACACAAAAATTCCAACTGACCCAGCCGAGGCTCGAACCGGCGACCTTCTTGCTGTGAGATGGACGTGCTACCAACTGCGACAACGTGCAGCCTTATAGATATAAAAAAAATAAAACAAACGTATCTTTATTAATTAGGCCACATTCTAGAAGCCAGATTCAAGAATTGTGGATTGATCTGTGTATTGAAAATCCTGATTGTGTCTCACATAATGTTTGTGATAGTACAGTTTTTAAACTGAAAGCCAGAGTTTTAGAAAAACTGTGATGGATTGGGCTCCAATATCATGCCATTCCCTAGGCCCAATACCGGTGCTAGATGGAGCATCACTGTCAAGGACTACCAAAGCATTCTGAAAGACCATGTGCACCCAGTGGTTCAAACATTGTATCCTGAAGGTGGTTGCGTGTATCAGGATAATAATGCACCTACACACACAGCAAAACTAGTGACAGATTGGTTTGATGAACATGAAAGAGAAGCTGAACATCTCCCATGGCCTGCAGATCTTAAGCATTTTGAGGTATTTTGGGGAAATGTTTAAACTTAACATCATTTAAACAAATTGTTTAAACTTATGAGCCTGTTATGTTATTTTTAACAAGCTTTTTTTTTTTTACTCAACTTCACAAGGATAAAAGTGCCCGTAGTTAAAGAACTGCCCTTTTACAGTTGCTTTAATTTTGATAATTTTTTTTTTTTTTTGCATAACAAAATAGGCCTACTGTTATTATCTTAAAAAATAGACTAAAGACAGATCAGTGTTGTAAAGGTTGAACAAATAAAAAATGACCTTGGTTTGGTTTGAAGAAGAAATCGTGATATGTCATTTAACTTGATTAAATTCCTCTGCCCTAGCTCGCATCTTATTTTTATTTTATTTTATTTTTTTGCATCTTTCCCTCGAATCCTGAGGTGGTGGAGCTAAGACACGAGAAAAGGAAGCAAGGAAAGGAAACTTAGCATTTGCAAATTGAGAAGCTTTTTACAGTCTATGTTGAGAAGCAACGTAGATGTTCAGCCAGCTCCTTGTGGGAGGAGGGGGAGAAAGAGCTCCTTCGATTGACTTGTTTTTAAAGTCAAGATCGCTAGAGGGAGACATTTTGTTAATCCTGATTTCTCTGCACAAAATCGTCCGCTTAAAAAGCTGCCTGTAACGTTAGTCAACATACATTGCGGGTCTGATCAGCCAAGTTGCTGTAAATTGTCGGCGAGCCAGCCTGCGTATTGAAATAAAGATGAAGTTTTCGCTAATTTAACCTTAATTATTGATAATTCGTTCAAGGCTTCCGATTCAGATATGACAAGATAGAGTCTTCGCAAGGATTGTAAATCTGTGCGTTATAGCGTTAACGTTATAGCTTTTAATCTGAGGACGATTCTGTGGTTTTATTTTTTGTTGGTTAAATTTGGTGTAGTCAACAACCGGAGCCAATGAAACGTTACGTAGCCTAATGTCGTCGGGACATCTGCGTTTTAATGTGCTCAGTATAGGCTGTCCGTTTTCTGACAAAGGCTATATACTAACGTAAACGGTACAGAGCACAGTGCCAGACACCAAAGGCTGTAGATATACAGACAGTCATATCTTTACGTATTTTTATATATAGAACCCCTAGACTGCGCCATGTTGAGAAAGAAGAAGACTGAAGCCGGGATGTCCCAACTTAAACCAGACAATCCTCTAATAAAAATGGGTAAGACATTTATCTTTTCTTCTTATTTTTGTTTCTTCTTTCTTTATTTGATTTATTTCTTCTTCTTCTTCTTCTTCTTCTTCTTCTTCTTCTTCTTCTTCTTCTTCATAATAATAATAATAAATAATTATTATTGTTGTTATTATTATTATTATTATCATCGTATTTTTACGATTCGTTATGACATTTTCTTTAGGTTGAATAGAATTTTTTACACACACACATACATATTTGGAGAGATATATTTTTAGTTTTCTTCGACAATTTCTTTGTGTTTTGGTAGTTTGCCCAAAACTGAAAATTCTCTCATCATCAACTCATCCTTAAGTGGTTTCAAACATGTATGAGTTTCTTTCTCTCATCAAATATTAAATAAGATACTGTAAAGAAAGCTGAAATCTGCAATCATGAATTCCATAAGCTTTTTTTCCTACTATGGAAGTCAACGGCTGTTTTTTTTTTTTCAAAATATTTGATTTTGTGTTCAACAGAAAAAAGAAACCCATAAAGGTTTATAATTCTTGATCGAGAGTAAATAGTCATGATGAGTTCATAATGTGTGTGCTTTATTTATGTATTCTGTTTTAGTTTTTTTTCTCTTGGTCTGCTGTGATATAGCCTGTATTTACCCAAATTGGGGGATTCCTTTTTGTTATAGCCTGAAGCATTGTGTTATGGGGATCAACCACACATTTTTTTTATTGACCAATTTATTGTTATGGTGAATAAAAAATATATTTTTATAATATTTGTTGACTGATTGTGTTGTTATGGTGTAAAGTGTATATTAATTACATCATATTTTATGGCTTATGTAGACTTTAAAATAAATGTTTAAGAAATACCTCAATACCTCAAATAGTTGTGTCTTTCCCTGAAATGAGTCTTTTAATGTCATAGTTAAGCAGATGTAAAATATCTGCCCTCCTCTCCTTTGTGGACTCGCACTAAATCTAGAAAATCTTTTTAGAATATCACAGTCTTCATTCTTATTCTCAAACCTTGCAGGAGTTCAAGACGATGAGGATGTTAAGATGATGCTACAGGGCTCCTCTGTGACGAAGGTGCGTTCTCCACGCTGGAAGAGGAAACGAATGCTAAAGCTGATGAATGATGGGGTTACAGTCTGGTGTGAATCCAACAAGGCCACCAGCAGAGCCAAATCTCAGCAGTCATGTGAGTTGTCACTCTTAACATTAAAGATATTTAGATATAGATATATTTAAAGCGTTTCTACCAATTGTATGTAATGTTTGAGGATGTTAAAATATATTTTTTTTCATAAAGCTGTAAGAGTGCAGATCATAAATGATGTTCTATTCTGTATGACCCCCTCCTGGTAAGCACACTTTCTAATTATGGCTGTCTAAACAGGGATGATCTAGGTCTACTCCTAGCAGCATTGACAATCATTATAGGGCTGGTATATTTGTAGTTCAAATGGTGGGTTTCTCTAAGCTTTACTTTACACTCTAATTACAGCCTGTGACTAGGTGGGAAGAGAAAAACTCTCCGCTTTCTAGTTTTCTCTATATAGTTTACATGAATAATTACCATTGCCCTATATAGCAGCTGTGCACATGGCTTAAATTAGATGGCTTTTAGTTAGAAAGATCATGTTTTGTGTGATGTGGCTGAGACCGTGTATATATTTCCCCAAGTTGAATAACCTCTAGCTACAGCATATGCAGCCACTCTTTCCACATACATACATTAAAAAATATGGGTGGGGGCAAGTACATGGTGCAAATGAATATTTTACTTCGGAATTTAATTCAGTAGAGCGGTATTTTCTGTAGTGCACTACATATTATTTTCATTGCTTTTAGTGTTTATGCTAGTGATTTTTTCAGGGTTCTTTTGGTGTAACAATTCACAATGTAAAACAAAACTTTTTTCATTACACTTTTTTTCTCTCACAGTTTGTAATAAGATAAAGTTTAAGTAAAGATTATGTAATATTTTGCTATTTCCCAGACAAAATTCAGAGAAATTCTCAGATAAATGTATCTGTAAAAATGTAATATCTTAAATTTTAAATAATAAAAAAACTAACTTGAAATGTTAAATGCAAAAAAAAAAAAAAACGTGACGTCTTTAAGTGTTCATCAATAATTCAAGAGAAAGACTTGGTTCCAACCAATTAGCACACTCTATTGTTATGATAACTTTGAAGACCTTTTACAATGTTCAGATGACAAAGACGCCACAATGTGTTGCCAACCGTAATTAAAACAAGTGGAATAAGAAGAATAAGAATAATTTGGAGACATGGGTTATCGGTGTTGTGTTTATAAATGTGCCGCAACTAAGATTTTGTTTTCATTTCCTTGCTATGAGAGCGCAGCATGTGGACCCATATGTGTGGATTACAGTGATCTGCTAACACGCAACAAAAATATGTTTGTTAGAAACATTCTTTATCTGAGAGCTTTTTGCATGGTGAAATCCAGATGCCACTCGTCTTCTTTAAAAAAAAAAAAAACGCAGTTCCAGTTTGTGTTGAATGTCCTGTCTCTACGGACTTGGTAAGTCTGTGATCAGTGTTCTTTGTTTATGTTTATTCAGATGGCAAAGCTAGTTAGTATCATCAGCACTACACTTTTAGTCTTCTATTTAAGCTGTATAGAAGTGACTTGAAAAATATCTTGTAAAATATTATTTACTGTCATCATGACAAAGATAAAAGAAATCAGTTATTAGAAACTAGTTATTAAAACTATTATGTTTAGAAATGTGTTGAAAAAAATATTTTCTTCATTAAACAGAAATTAGGGAATAAAATAAACAGGGGGGCTAATAATTCTGACTCGCCAACACAGGTTGGAAGGTCTCCTTGCCATCATATGATCTTTAGCTCCCTCCAAGTCAGCACTCTGGCTGGACCACTGCAAAACATTAATGGTTTTGTCTGCTAACCATTTCTTTACCACTTTTACTGTGTTTGGATCATTGTTGTGCTCAAATGTCCACTGGTGCCCAAGGCCAAGTTTGTCTAAAGCCTGTTCATTCATTTATTTTTCTTTAGCTTAGTCCCTCATTTATCACCATTATCTTAGTACCTTATTTATCATTTATTACTTTATTTATCAAACCTCAAACTATTCCAGCAAATGTTTTACGCAGCGGATGCCTTTCCAGCCGCAACCCAGAACTAGGAAACAAATTTTATTAGAATTTAAAATGATTTTACTTTTTCTCAATTTTTGTGTCAATGTTTAGCTTTTCACTTCTCTCTACATCTTTTGAAATTATAATACCTAAAGATTTAACTTTAATTTTAACTGAAATATAATAAAGTGAGGTCAAAGAGTGCTCATGCCTGGCCATAAATTAACATTTAGATGTATTTAATTGTAAACCTTTTTTGAAAAGCATTTTTGAAAAGCATTCAATTAACTTAAGTGCTAAGGGGATTTGTGGTCTTTAAAAAAAAAAAGTCGTAGCGTCTCAGTTTGACTAATCATAAGATTGTGTTTCACAAAATTAATTCTTGCAATATTTTCATTTTAATATGACTATGTAATTAGATACATCGATACGAATCACAAAAGTCTTTAAATGATTCCTTAACTTTGGGGATACATTTGTTTACTTTTATAAAGAAAATGTCAGAGTCATCTTTGGAGTAAAATGACATGTATATGTTTGAGTAGAACTGTAATATCACGTTTGCAATTATATTTTCATCTGAACTTTCAACTTGATTTATTGTCAAACTCCCCATAGCATTTCTTTCTTGACGTCTTTTTTCAAGATTACAAAAGTATGAATTATTTTTTCCCTTACCTCCATCCAATTTGCTCTTGATCTTACATATGCACCCTTTGTCTGTCCTACGTAAACTTTATCTAATAAAGACTGTAAATGAAGTTTTTTTCTGTTTAATCTTGTGTAATAATTTAAGTTCTTTTTCTATTAAATTTTTTTTTTTTAATCTAATTCATACGCTATAGAATATTCCCCAATTTAGAATCGTAAAAAATTCAATTTAAAACCGCTAGACATGCATTTACTACCAATCTTCATTATATCTTCTTAATCTGCTCAAAATTATTATCTTGGGATAAAAGCTCAGAATTAAATTTCCAATATACTTTTGAGTAGTGAGAATCGATTTTTTGTTTTAAATTTAGCACAATTTATTACAAAAATGATTGGTTAACAGCGCACTGGAGATAGAACAATTATACACATTTGAAGACAGTGTCAGTGCCGAGCCAATAGTCAATTCTTGATCTAGACCCTACGTTCCGTTTTCCCCAAGTGAATTGTCTAATTCCAGAATTCCGTGTTCTCCAGATATCAATCAAGAGATTTGGAGAGCAAAAATTTTGAACTAAATTATTGAGATGAGAGAACTTGTGCTTTGCTAGATCTCTATCTGGCATTAAATTAAAATCCCCTCAAGTTAAAAGAAATTCTGTGGGATAGGTGATTTTTTAGTTGAGCAGAGTAAATCTTTATGCAGGTTTTTATACTTGTTATGAAAATAAGGAAGTGTTTATCTAAATTAAGAACAATTATTAACCAATGTCCAATAGCGTCAGCTTTGTAAAAAAATATTTTATCAGGACATTTAAATAGCAACTCTTGTGGAGTGATTTGTGTGATAACCAAAAAAAAATATCATCATGTCATTGATTATGCCAGAACAGAGCATTCACAGCTAATGAGTGGTTATTTTTCCTATAATTTAATTGTTTAGACCCCTACTGTTTAAAGATGAAAATGAGAGATTTGATAATAATGAGAACATTACAACAAAAATAACAAAAAACCCTTACCCAAATAATTTGTAAATTGTGTAATGAAATAATGTTTGTACAAAATAACTGTCATGGGTCAGGATTGATCTGGGCTTCTCTTTCTCAATCTGTTGTATGTTTCAGCTGTTGCCTCTTACAATCAGCGCTGGCGCCCATGCATTACTCACCTGTTGCTCTTTTCATTTGATTCTCCCCTGTACACGTACTTGCCCTGTCGTGTGACTCATTGCCAGATTATTGTGATTATTAAAGTTTACAGACACTATGCTGTTTTGCTCTTCCTTAATATTTTGAGTTTTTAACATCTTGTTCAGTCTAGTCCAGTGATACAGTTTATTATTTAACGTGATTGCTCACCTGTGATCTGCGCAGTCACCTGACTGTTGAATCCAGCCTCCACCTTACTCTGCTGCAGGGGTTCTCTCCTCACCCTGCTCCTTCAACCCCTCTCCTCACTAAGGGACCTGAGGGTGAAATTTCTGTTGCCTTATCCAGTCTGCGTTCCCCCATGGGTGGTCGGAGATTAGCAGCTGCCTTTGTTCTTCTTGAAATTTAACAAAACACTCTATTTGAACATTATTTACTCTTCGTTATCTGCCTGAGCCTTGACAATAACAAAAGGAAATAACATTAAAACAAAAAAGTTAACCAAACTGCAAAATATGCCACATCACTTGTCTGTCATCTCACTTGTCCAATGACACTGTTCACATATCTTTTAATTTTCTGAGTTACATTTCCTATTTATGTAAGCAAAATGACCCTGTAATCCAGCTACCTTCCCCTCTTTGCTTGCTTGTTCAATTTTTGTCCATAACACTCTTCTTGCCGCTTTGTCCTTTTTTCGCCAAGTCTTCCGTGAATCTAATCCCACATTTTAGCACACCATTGAGTTTTTTGTTCTCTTTAAGATATCTTCTTTTACTTTTCTTTGTGCAAAGAGAACTTCTCACTTCTCTGGGCCTGTCAGCCTCTTTTTTTTCCCCCACTCAATGCACCACGTCCACCGCCTCGCTTATGTTTGGTGAAAATTCAGGTGTAATCTAAACTAGAAGCTGAATCACATCTTTTTGAATGGATTCACCCAGATTTTCTTTCATTACTTTGATGCGAAGGCACCATCTTCTCTTGTATCTTTCCTTTACTAGAACTTAATTCTTCAAATTGCTATTTTCATTTTCACCTGCTTTTAAAACATTTAACTTTTTCTTTACACTCCTTTACTTCTTCAGCATTCAACTGTACCACATTTGCCACACTTGCGATCATATTGCTATGCTGTTTCAATCGTGTGCTAATGTCTAGGTTCTGCTCATCCACTTTATACCGAGGGCTTTTATTGCTTCTAAAATAGCGATGATACTCCAGCATCAGATAAACTTGCATCCATTTCCAGTAATTTTTTTAGCCTTTTTGAGATTTTAATGGGGTGGAAGGGTCTGAGTAAGTACCCCTTTCTCTGGAGAGCTTAGTCCATCAAGTAACATTGTTCCCCCATACTAGCTAATCAGACAGATTCTAATAGGAAAACATACACAATTTTGAGATAAACAACTTCAGGTATAACAAATTTAGACTTCAAAACCAACGAGATGAAAGTTTATCAATCATTTGAGACAAAACATGGGTCATAGATATGGCACAGCCAAGAAAGATTGACTGCTCAGTCCACCAATTTGCTGGAACTCTCTTTGCATATAAGTTACCGTGCTACAGCACCTGTGGGGAATGGCAGTGATTCCGTATGAGGTCCGACTTTCTCAAGGGCTGACAGTCTGTTTCTGCTTATGTTTATTGATTTTTTTCAATTGGCCTAATTGCTTAATTTAATTTATTAAGTTTAATTTATTTGTTAATTTATGTAAATTTTATGGCTTATTTAAATTCATTATTTTGAAATGTATTTCTTTTGTATGTCTCTTACTGCTTGCTGGTTTAGTCCTCACAGTGTTTATAGGGATTAAATGCTTCTTTTTTTGCGCTAAATGAAGGCTAAATCATTGTCGCTGAACAATTCCATTTTTGTTTCATCTGGCCATAAAACAGAATCAATGTCCAGATAAGCATCTGCAAAGACCAAGCAGGCTTTTGTGTGGCTTCTAAGTGATATCCTCCTTGCTCTCTCTCTGTTTAACCCAGTGTGCAGTGTCTGTTGGACTATTTGCCTTAAAATGTTGCCACCAGCAGAACCCAGATTCATAAGGATGGCCTTGGTGGTGATCCTTGCATTCTTTTTTACCTCTTTCACTATCCTCCTGACCAGCACATGTGCCACTTTTGGCTTCCGACCATGTCCACTAAGAAGTTTACAACATGGAACATTTTTACAATAATACTTTGCACTGTAGCCACTGGAACTTCAAAACATTTAGATATGGTCTTATAACCTGTTCCTAACTTATGAGCAGCCACAATTTGCTGCTTTAAGTCCTGACTAAGCTCTTTTGTCTTGGTATGAAACTTTGGATTTTCCCATAGATTGTGACATTTTGCAAAGGGCATGAATAATTTTGGACATGCCACTTTTTGTTCAAAGGGAACCAAAACCAGGGTGAAGGACCATGCTAGAAGGTAGTGTTTCAGCTCAAGGACTGCCCACTTTAAGGGCCAGGGCCTCCTTCTCTATGGCCTCGTACCTAGTCTCTGCAGAGGAAAGCGTCAGACTCACGTATACCAGCGGGTGCTCCTCTCCCTCGTGGACTTGTGATAGTATGGCATGCAGTTCAGAGCATTGGTCTGGAGGATGAAGGGGCAGTCGAAATCAGGTGCGTGCAGTACCGAAGAAGACGGTAGGTCCTCCTTCAGCTTCTGGATTGCCTGTTCTGCAGCTGGGCTCCACAGTATCTTCTCTGACTACCCCTTATTTGTCTGGTTCGTCAGCAGACTGGCTATGGATAACAAATTGGGAATTAAGAAATCGATCAAATAACAACAGCAGCCTGCCAACCCCAAAAAGGCACATACCTGGTCCTTTTTGGTGGGTCAGGGGGTCTTCTGGAAAGCTTCAACTTTTGTCTGCTGAGGTTGGAACAGCCCCCAGTCAATGTGGTACACCAGGTCCTACACATCTGCGAGCCTGAAATGACATTTCTTGGGGTTGGCTGTGAGTTCATCCCGTCAGAGTTCCAGGAGCATCCTTTACAGATGGGTAAGGTGTTCTTCCCAACACCTCGAGTGGATTACTCCATCTTCCAAATAAGCCGTTACGTATGATTAGTGGGGTCTCAGTAGTATGTCCATAATCCTTTGGAATGTGGCTGGAGCCTCATGCAGGCTGAAGGAAAGGATCCGGTAGTGCCAATGGCCTCCAAGAGTGGTGATATAAGAAATAATTTTTTTCTATAGCTTTGTGTGTCAGAGGTACTTCCCAGAAGCCTTTTGTCAGGTTGAGAGTTAAGAAAACCTGACTCTACCGAATCTTTCCAAGAGCTCATTCACTAAAGGCATTGGCTACCCGTCAACACTAGATGTTTCGTTAAGTTTTCAGAAGTCATTACAGATGAGGAGGGTGCCATCTGGCTATAGCACCATCACATTTGGGCTGGACCACAGACTACAGGATGGTTCAATAACCCCAAACTTCAACAACTTTTCCACCGCTTCCTGTATAGCCAGCCAGCGAGCTTCTCGTACCCGGCCTCTTCCGAACAATGACTCCAGCAGGTGTTGTGATGTCTTATTGAATGACAGAGGACTGCTCGGGCTGTTTACTGAACACATCCTTAAACTGACTGACCAGGGCTTGGAGCTCCGTCTTCTGGGAGAGAGACAGTTGTTCTCCCATGGGTCCCCCATCATCCACAAAGGCAGTCAGCTGTTTCGGTGAAGGGACCCATCGTTTAAGGACATTGAAATTGTACAACTCTTCCTCTTGCCTTTGTCTCGGCTGGCACACACGGAAATTGACCAGCCTAACCTGTTCGTCGATAAGGTAGGGTCCCTCACAGGTGGCCAGAAACTTGGACATTGTCGTGGGGACCAACACAACACCTTATCACCAGGATTCACGTGGCTGGGCATCATAAAGACATCTCTGGGTGCACTGGGCTTTGGAGAGATGTTTTTAAACCAGGAGCATAACTCTGTTGATCATTTGCCTAATGTCCCTTACGTGTTTTATCATGGACCTGTGAAGTTCTGGGTCTTGTTCCCAGGCTTGTCGAGCTACATCTAGGAGAAAGTGGGGCTGGTGGCCGAACAAGAGTTTGAATGGGGTGAAGCCTGTGGAGGCTTGGGGTACCTTATGACGCTGTCTCAGTCACGGCAATTTTCTGCCACTACCTGTTGGAGCATCTTCTTTAAGGTTTGGTTAAACCTTTCATCTAGGCTGTCAGTTTGTGGTTGGTACACTGATGTCCAGAATTGTTTCACTTTGACATGACATGAACGGGGTTTCCTGGTTAGTCAGGATCTCTTAGGGATCTCTTAGGGGATGCCCATCTGGCTGCATACAAGACCGAGCTCCTTTGGTATTGCCTTTGATGTTGCCTTTTTATGTAGGGCCACACTTCTGAGGGTGTTGTCATCTCTCTGAGCTTGTCCAAATGAGCCCTCTGCTGTCACCCGCTGGAACAGATTGTGAAACAGATTAGTTGAGAATTGTGTACACTCACCTTCTCTATCGCTTTTGGTTGCCAAGAGTGCCGGTTGGTGGTCCCATCATGGTTAAGCCTGGGGATAATGGCATCATTTTCCCTTTATTGCTGCTGACAGGATACTTAGAGCTTTGAATCCTGGCCAATCTTGATCAAGGAGGAGGGGGGTGGGAAGAACTATAACCACCCGCACTTCGAGAGACTACACACATGGGCTGGCTGCTATTGGGACCTGTTATGCAGGAACATATCTTGCATGCCAGGTGGAACTGTTCAGTGCACAATAAAACTAGCCAGCCAGGCGTGTGTTAGAGAAGTCCGGGCTCAGAACTACCAGTCTGCTGTCTGGTCTCTCATGGTTCGCCAGTCGTCAGGAGTGGTTCACCCTTCATTTAAGGCCGCTTTCTTTTCTGTATTTCAGGCCAGTGTCGCTTTCGCCAGTACCAACTCCTCCACACTAGGTTTGCCAGACTCGCTGGATTCTTCACCCTCACTGGCCCCCGAAGCCATTGAGGAAGCTCTCGCAGCAATTACTTGATGAAGATTTTTTCAGCAACCTGGGTGATGCTAGGGTTATCGCTGAGGAGCTACGAGTGAGCTAAGATTGGATGGGCTGCTTGAAGGAGCACAGGGGCGCTACCCTCAAAGGACCAGAAATTGAACTGTAGCAGCGCTTACAGGTGATAGCCTCACCCGAGCCAGGACTTCTTGCTTTAGAGCTTTATAGTCATCATTGTGGGTCACTTCTAAAGTATAATAAGCCCTCTGTGACTAGCCAGTTAAAATGGAGCTATCATTTCTACCCAGTCAGCTTTTGACCAGATTGTCTATGTCATCCAGGTTGCTCAGCTTTATGAAAAGGTGATGGAGTGTGGTGCGTGGCTCCAGAAGTAGGTTTTAAGAGGGTATTGTAGGTAACTGGTAGGTATAATACATGGCTGAAGTGAGTCCTTGAGCAAGGCTCCAATCCACCAACTACTTCCTGGGCACTGTAGCAATGGCTGCCCACTGTTCAGAGTGTGTGGGCTTTTATGGGTTAAATGCAGAGAAAAATTCTGAGGGTCACCAAACTTGACCCCAGGTCACAACTTTCCTTTTGTTTTTTTAATTGACTTTTAAACAATGCGAACAATGAAATTTGCTCGATATGTCATTTGCATGTACTGAACTCTTATTATTCTACTATGACTAGGTAGGTATATCCAGTTTTTCATTTCATTGCACCTTTACAGTTATGGTTTTGTTTGTCGAGTGCTATTATTTAGATTAGCCTCTATTTTAAATTTGCATTGATTCAGTTAGTTTAAAGCTGTTCGAAATAATATCTATTCTATAAAACGCTAAAAAGGGTACTTGACTTACAGATGCTGAACTATTAAACATTAGTGTGTCATCTTAAAACTAGTTTTAGCATATTTGTCAATATCCTCATATACCAGAAGACAAATATTTCTTTATTTCTTCATGTTTATTCTTTGTTTGGGCACCTCAGTGCAGACATTATTTATCAAATGCTTTCTGTCTTTGCAACAGTAATAATAAAGATACAAAGGCTTCAGGTCATTTGTGTTAAAAAAAATAAAAATGCTGTTAGCATAGCTAACATTTACTGACATTTTTGTATTTTCGATTTGCTTCAAGTCTGTTTAGTGACCCTATTCACAAAGACTGGAAAAGCAAATGGTCTTGTTGACTTAATCATTGTTTGTTCCTGTTAATATTGACAGTGCTATTTTAAATGTTTGATTAATACAAGCTACATTTGTTGAACCAAAAATCCTTCTTTTCCTCTCAGTCTCTGTAGCAGAGGTGGAGTGTGTACTGGAAGGCTGTAAGTCTGAGACGTTGAGAAACCAGGCCGCCTCACTCCCAGAAGAACAGTGTCTCACCATTGTGTTCAAAGGAGGAAGAAAGAGCTTGGATGTCCAGTGTGACACAACAGAGGAAGCCCAGCACTGGGTCCATGGCATTCGAACCCTCCAGGGCAGAGTCAATAACATGACCCAGAAAGAAAAACTCGACAAATATCCTTCAGCAGCTTATTAAATTCCCTTGAAACCACAATCGCAGTCTATGTGACTCTATAAGACTCCAAGCAGCTCAGGTTTTGATTGACATGCAGCTTTATCATGAATCAAAGCAGTCAAACAAATTAGGGCTTAAATACCAAAAAAGTGCATCCTTGTGAATTGGGCTATTTCAGCATTTCACAATCCCAGTCCTCACACCCCATCGTTCTGCACATTTTGTATGTATCTCTTATGATTTCAGATGTTTGTTCTAATGCAACCATACATGAAACAAGAAGCAGCATATAAATTTCACAAAACTGGGATTTTAGTGCACAATATTTAAATCAGGGTTGCCAGGGTTTCAAAACAAAACTAGCCCACATTTTGCATCACAGTATGCATTATACACAGTTTCTTCTTTGAAAATAACTATTTAATAATAATTACATATATTCTATAATCATTTAAAAAACATCTTAGCAACATCTTACCTTTGACAGCACTACTGGTGTAGTTTCTAAAATGAACAATCAAGATATTAATTCCATTGCAATTTGATGGACTGTTTTCTGTAGATTACTTTTGCAGTTATTAATTAGCAATAGCCTTGGAGAGTCCTGCCAATCTGTTATCATTAGGGTTGGGATTTGAAAATCGATTCTGATTCTGGAATTGGATACTTAGTTTAGGCGTGCATGTTCATACTGCATGATTTTAATTTTCCTTAAGATCACTGTAGTTTTCACACTATATGACTATCTAGGGTTAGATTGCTGCGTGGTTGATCTGCTGTGACAGCAGGATACAAACTGCATGACTACACTAAACAACCGGCGTCAATTTTGATTCACAAATGTACAAGAGAAGCGATAAGATTACATTTAAGACTGGATTATATTTTTAATAAGATGCTGTTCAAATCTGTGCACTCACAATAATTACCAACAAAAGATTATGGAAGAGGATATGTTTGGGAACTTGGTGTTAAAATTCTGATACTTGTTATATAACTAAAATTTAGACTTCTTCTTATTCTTATTGCATATTTAATTTTTCACCTTGCAGTCTGGCAGGACCTTCTACACTTGTGAGCAGTATAACAACTTACATTACACAATATTATTCTTAAATTTACAAATCTGTGCAAAAATAGATATAATATTTATGTAGACAATACAGGTTTTTTAAACATTTTAATACTTTAATTCGTCATTTTTAGAGATATTTGCGTATTGCTGTACATCCCTGCATGTGAATTACATCCCACGCTCTTTAAATAACAAATAAAAACTTTTTTTACTCTATTTCAGGTCTATTTCAGTTGCTTCAAAATAGCAATGTGCCTTAACAAATGGATTTGCTATTTAAACAAAGTAGCAGAAATTGTGAAAATGATACATGTATTAGGTTGAAACTAGCAAAAACACTTGCGCCTTGGATGTCCCCTCATTGCTCCGGGTTTGTGCTAAGACCCTGTGTGTTACCTTTGTTGTATGCCCTTGACTGTTTGAACTTGGATCTATGGCTACCTGAAACAAGCTGACATAAATCATGATGGCAAGATGTCATATGAGGAGGTTCAAGTCCTTTTCAAGCTGGTCAACATAGACCTGAATGAAGAATATGCTGCCAGCCTTTTTAAGGTCAGTATTTATTCCCAGGAACACTTGATTTTTTTGTAATATTTCAAATAAAATAGCTTTAATTATAAAACAAATCTGAAGAATAACAGCACAGCCAACTTGACTGAACTTTGAAGGTTTCCTGTGTTAATTAGTTCAAGTTTTGCTTGAAGCTTGACCTAGTCTATAATAGTATATATATATAATATAATGATATATATCATTGATATTATATCTATCTATCTATCTATCTATCTATCTATCTATCTATCTATCTATCTATCTATCTATCTATCTATCTATCTATCTATCTATCTATCTATCTATATATATATATATATATATATATATATATATATATATATATATATATATATAAAGCAATAATATAAAAAATAGATAATATAAAATAATACATGTCTAAACAGATCAACTATACAAATTAATTTAACATTGAATAAAAGCATGAACACTTAAGAACAAATGCATATATACAGTGTATAGACAGTTTTGAACTGCTATTTATATTGTTATGAAAAGTATTTTTCTTGATGTTAAATTTCAATTCTGTAATCTGCTTTAAATGTCTTTGTGCATTAGAAAAGTGATAAATCAGCAGATGGACGGCTTGAACATGAGGAGATCGAGCTATTTTGCCGTGAGTTGCTACGTCGGCCAGAGTTGGATGCAGTGTTTCAACAGTACTCTGCAAACGGTTGTGTCCTGTCCACTGTGGATTTGCGGGAATTCCTGAAAGATCAGGGCGAGGACCACACCCTTGTACATGCGCAGAGCCTCATCCTCACCTATGAGCTCAATGAATGGGGTATCTTCTATTCACTTTTTGTGTTTTTTTGTATACACAATTCTTGGTAGAAACACTCCAGATCAGTGATGCCCAAGCTATGGCCCATGGTAACCTTTAATTTGGCCCGCCATCCCTTCTAAGAAGAGTGGGAGAATCATGGTTGAGATTTTCAATTCGAATTTCATGTAATATAGCACGTTGTTTGTTTTATTGTTAAATGCTAACTGAAATTAAATGTTTTAATTATATGGCTTAAATTAACCAGATTTTGTTTAAATGTATATTCTGTCATCTGACAATGCAGAGACTTTGAAGTGCAAGTCAAGTCAAATACAGATTCTCATTGTCCTGTGAATTTAACATTGAACTCTACTGTGTTATAAATATGCTTGTTTATGTTTTATAAATTATAATTTAAAAACTTATACTGCATTTTGAAATATAATGAAATAAAGTAGGAAATTACCCATGGCAAATTTAATGTAATCTAGATTGGTACATTAACTATCGGCCCACAGCTTTCAATGATATTTGGTTTTTGGCCCTTTATACGAAAACATTTGGGCAGCCCTGCTCTTGATATTCACTGATAAAAAAGTATACTGGTCTTACATTTTAAAGATGATTTCTTGAATGTTTTCATGATCTTTTTCCATGTTAAAGTACTCTGTGTGCAGAGTTATCAGGCAAGATGTCTTTTTTTGACAGCATGAATTGTATAATTTACCTACAGTGTCCTTGGTCAATCAAACCAAATGCAAAATTCTGACAAACCTGAATATTTAATTAAATAAAAGTGAAGTTTTGGCTTTTAGGGAAATATCTATGTGTGCAAAATTACCGGGCAAATATTAGTGTGCAGAATCATTATGCAACTAAATCAGGGTGTCCATTAATAAGTAAAAGTTAATAAAATCAGTTTAGTGAAATTTATGGCCCTTAAAAGTATTAAAATGTCTTAAATGCTATTTTAAATGACAATAAATTTTGAATCATATTTTTTGCTTAAACCATGTCTAGTTGTTTGAAAAAGTCTCAATTTAATCTGTGAATATCGGGGTGTTGTGTTATGAAATCGATAAAATCTTGCTAGATTTGACATCACACTGCTTTGTTTACTGCAGTAACCAAGGCAAAACTGTTATACCTGCTATTCTATAGGCGCCAACTGCTGGATTAGCATTTTTATTCATTATATGAATAATGTTTCTTACAATCAGTTTTTATTTAAAATACTTTAGACTAAGGGCGTACTTACACTCTGTACAGTTACCTTGAACCAGGTCAAAGCACGCTTGTCCCCCCTCCCGTCTCTCCCGACGGCCCGTACTCACATTACATTCGAGCCTGAGCACGCTTAAGTCATCAATGATGCACTGTTCAGTAAGCGTTCTCGCTCAGCACAGTGGAGATTTCGTTTGATCGCTTTAGTCATGTCAAATATTTCGCCGAACAGATCAGCCACTTTTGACGCTCATAAGCAATCATAAAGTCCTCGTGCTGCAGGAATTAGAAGGTTTGCTGAAGGTGCAGCTGTCGTGCAGTGAGGGTTTTGCGTCTTTAAAAAACTAAAACAGTTTGTGTTCATTGAACAGTGGGAATGATTAATAAATCTGTATCAAACAGTCCCCTTAAAAGTCACGTCTCCCTTTCAGTTTCGGACTCAGGCATGTTTTGTACTCACACACAAGCGTGATTAACTATCTTCAATTATGATTTAGAGCAATACGTCTTATTTACAGTTGTCAGAATTATTAGCCCCCCTTAATTATTAGCCCCTGTTTTTTCCTCAATTTCTTTTTAACATAGAGATTTTTTTCAACACATTTTTAAACATAATAGTTTAGAAAACATAACACTCATTTCTAATAACTGATTTATTTTATCTTTGCCATGATGACAGTCAATAATAATTGACTACATACTTTTCAAGACACTTCTATACAGCTTAAAGTGACATTTAAAGGCTTAACTAGGTTAATTAGGTTGACTGGGCAGGCTAGGGTAATTAGGCAAGTTATTACATAATGACGGTTTGTTCTGTAAACTATCAAAAAAAATTATATAGCTTTAAGGGGCTAATAATTTTGACCTGCTGTTATTCTAGCCGAAATTAAACAAACAAGACTTTTTCCAGAAGAAAAAATATTATCAGACATACTGTGAAAATTTCCTTGCTCTGATAAAATATTTGGGAAATATTTAAAAAAAGAAAAAAAATTAAAAGGGGGCTAAATAATTCTTATATAGTCTTATTTACTATTATGGAAATTTAACTTCTTTGCATTCGTTCATCAAATTTCTTTTTAAGTTAAACTGAGCTGCATTTGCTTCTGTCTTCTTATGTTGACAAACTGCATCTGTGGGATAGGTTAGTAGTATATTGATACAATGCACTTAGTCACAAACAGGCTTTTACTGAATGTTTGTTGCCATAACGCAGAACACATTCATTACACTTAAAAATAAACAAATACCTCAGTTTGCATGGTAAATGCCCTTGAGGTAAAATTTGCACTTCCCCATCAAATGTGTTGTGTGTACCACATCATTCATGCTGACATTTAGCTTAGCACATGTATATGTTACCTCTTCTCAAATGACCTGGCACAGTCTAGAACTTGTAACCTCTTTGTTTATGTTTGTTTGTTTGTTGTTTTTGTCAGAATAGCATGTAAAAGTTCTGCTTTCTCATCTCATTTGCTGTTAAATGGGACACACTCGATTGCGACAGACTAGTATTATTTTTTAGAAATTATGGGGTGTTTTCACCTGAAACTTCACAGACACATTCTGGGTTTGCCTAAGACCCCCCTAAGGGTCTATTATGTTAACATTAAATTTCAGCCTAAATAAATGTATGTATGTAATCTGTCCCATCCAGCCCAGAAGAACCAATTCATGACAGCGAATGGCTTCACCATGTACATGCTGTCTAAGGAGAATGATGTGTATAACCCAGATCACAGAAGAGTATACCAGGACATGAGCCACCCATTAAGTCACTACTTTATCTCCTCATCACACAACACCTACCTCACTAAAGACCAGCTCATCAGTGATAGTAGCGTTCACCCTTACATAAGGTACACAGACACATACACATATTGGTATAACCAAACATTGGGTCAAACACGGACAAACCTAACTTCAGTGATGTTGACGGCTCCCTGGCCATTGGGAAGGAGGAAGAGAACCAATGAATTTAAATGATTTTAATTATGAAAATAAACATAAATCAAACAGGCAGGGACAGCCCCCTAATGGATGGCTGTAGCCTAAATAAAAAGTGAAAGTCAAAGATAAACTTACTCAGACCTAACCCACTTGCTACACTGGGTTAGCAGTGTCATTTAAATTTAACACAGTTATGGGATTGTCCATATTTTACCCAATGTTGGGCTACGACAGCCCATCATTTTTTTTTGAGTGTACACATTTACATGCATAGTGGATGAGAACACCTTTTCAGCGAAAGCGTTCATACAGAAATACAGAAATGTCAATATTCAGCAAATACTATAAAAAGTGCTGCTGTTTGTTTGTGGCACAGAGCTCTAAGTCAAGGCTGTCGCTGTGTGGAGCTGGACTGCTGGGATGGAGAAAAGGAGCCAGTTATTTACCATGGACACACCCTCACATCCAAAGTGCCATTTAGTGATGTGGTGAAGATCATCGCTGAATATGCTTTCACGGTGAGCACAGCAGTGATGCATGTAGCCTTACGTCTGTGAATGCTGCTTTATTTATTTATTTATTTGCATCACTTAAATTGATTATAAATGTTTGAGGTTTTTTTAAAATGTGTATGTACTTGCATGGTGGAAGATGGGTAAAGAAATCTATTGGCTTAAGTTTTGCTGGTGATTTTTCAGCACACTAAAAATTACAATTTAGCTATTGTTTAAAACAAGGTTCAAAGTGAGTAAATGCTCTTTAAAACAGCTAAACCTAATTGAGACATTTGCCAAAAGGCCTAAAACTAATGAGACAAATTATGCTTCCCCACACGGGGTGAAGACTACTGTCTCATCAGCAACTCCTGGGCCTGCCCGTGGCTGCGCAGTCTCCTCGCATGGAACCACTACCATTCAAGGTGTTTTAAACAGTTTTATCTGATAGACTGGCACAAATAAGCAGACATAGTCATTCTCATAACGAGTTTCTGAGGTCTCTCACCCTTCCATAAGAATTCGACACTTGTTTTAAAACATTTCACCTGTAACATATTGTAACCTGCATTCTGGAGATAAACATTCCATTTAACATTCCAGAAAACAATCTGGGTGAATCGCCAGGACAATAAAATCACTTGGTGACGAAAAGTCTGGCTTGGTAATCCCTTGGTGACATGTTAACAAGTCTGGGAGACTTCACAGAACCACTCTCTGCCTACTTCAAAAGAACGTGACAGATAAGATAAGAAAAGGAAAAAAAACTCTTTAGCCAACATTCTGCTCACAGACAAGACATTCCTCAAAATTAAACAAAGACATTTATAACCCAAATCTCTTGTTTAATTTCATTTAACTTTTGTAATGTGTACAATACCTGATATAGACTATACACCTTCACGCTTGCAGGCCTTTTTTAAAAGCATCAAGGATGTAAGGATATGGGAACTATGTGATGTACTTGTAGAGTGTTTGGTGTCAATAGAATGCCCTCGACATTTTATAACACATGATGCATAGATCGAGACCATAACTCGCATTGTTTTATTCTTTAAAGCCCTGTATTAAATGCCTGTCCGCATGCTTTAGGCGAGCGCTCAAATTTGCATACGCGCAGCCCAGAGACAAAGGAAGGTTCGCGCGCAAACTTTCCCCTGAAATCATTGGTCAGAATGCTGTACGGGTTGTCACGTGACCCGCAGGTATAAGCACACTTTCCCCCAAACATCTGGGCAGAAAGAGAACGGCTGTTTCTCAATTCCAAGAACGCAGAGAATGGACTTGCGTTCTTGTAGAGTGCGGTCTTGCCAGGTGTCCTCGGAAGAACGAACTCAGGAGAGCGCGAGGGCAGAGAACGCGTCCTTTGAGGAATGGGATGCTGCGTTCTTCCTGATGGTCATGTGACCTTCACGCGTTTTAAATGGAAATTATTTAAACATTACAGCCTTCATACAACGATTTATTGTTTCCCCTTCTCTTCAAAATATATACTTTGCATAAAAACATTATAAATATACTCTGCACAATATAAATAAAACAAATTTTAATACGAATTTCATCAAACAAACACCCTTAATGTGTTTATTCCTTTATTAAGATGTTCATGTTAATGTATACTTACACCGTTTCATTTAGGGAAACTCCTGAGGTAAATAAGTGATATCTCTGAACTTTAATAATAAATCTAAATAAAATGCTGCGCTTCCCACCTCAAGTCGCAATGACTTCTGGGACTTCCAGAGCGAGCTCGCTGCTGAAGTCTGCATCGGTGCGTCCTCGATATCAAGAACACATCCGGGAAGTTTCACGCGTCCTCCGTACTTGCGGTCTTGAGTATTGGAACTGAACTTAGGCAGCTGATGATGACGTTGCACGAGAACACGAGGACGCAAGACCGCTGAAGAACGCATATTGAGAAACAGCCAACGTCCCAAAAAGGAACATCATTGACGGTGGTCCCTTTAAGGGCCACACGGCTCTTCACAGCCGCAAGGACTTTCCCGCCACGTTTTCTTTATTTTCCGGCAAAGTAAATTCAGTTTAAAGTTTGCGATCGTGTTCGTCCGAACTGCATTACAAACTCCACGCATCAAAGGACATCAAGAGTAGTTTTCATCACGACGGAAGAGAGACGCATAAAAGAGACCTCCAGACATGAAAAACCAGGTGATTTTAGTTATGCGACTAAGCTGTGCCCCTTTTATCAAAAAGGTTTTTTTTTTATAACCTTGGTGGTCCGTAATGGTGCGTGTGGAACTGGAAGTTTTGTCACTTTTTACCTGAAATCTCCATTTCCTCGCTTTACTATTTCTCTTTGCTGTTACACGTTCTATAGACCCGATATCTCCGCGTGGTTTACCTTTGTTCTGTGTTAAATGTATGTTTGTGCGTTTGTTTGTTCGTTACGTCTGACTAGTCAATAAATTCCATTAAAATCAAATGAATTGTATTGTTTGCCTCACGAGAAAATGTCACTGAAATACAGATTCCCCTGCCTAGCTATTAAAAGTTGTTTAAAACTTTTGAATGATTAATCTACTTCACAAGAAGTAGCAATTAAATTCCCTTTTTCTAAATGAATAGATTACAGTGTCCGCTCGGAAGAGCGGCGGCTCTGCTTGTGTTCGTTTGGTCAAATTGACAATAAATTGATCCGGAATATTAATGATTAATAATAATTCGTTATTGTTGATAATTAATATTCATAATCTGGGAATCCGCTCGGTCGCGCGAGCATGATCATTTACAATCATATGTTTGTTTGACCAAACTGACTGAAGCTTAAGCCGGAATATTAATAATTAAGAATAAACCGTTATTGTTGATTATTAATATTCATAAAATGAGCTAATTTCATGCTACATATATTGGTGGAGAGAATGCGGGCAGTTTTCCAAACATTTTTCTGTGGAACAAACTTTCCAGTTCATTGTGATTTATTAAGCGCGATATAGAGAAAAAAAGGACCGCGAGAAGCATTTCCTTTCCTTCAAAACTGGGAGGACGAAAATCCTGCTCCAGCCATTCTGTTCACTAAACACAGCAGAGAGCTGCCCGTGTAGAGTGTAACAATTTAAACTGCAGTTCATATATATTTTGAATCGATTTTGCTGAGACGCACGTTCTGCAAATCATTTAAATATATTAGTGTGCCTGTCGGAGGAAAAGACACCTCTCTCAGCGCTTGTAAGACAGTTTGGAAACCCCAAACCTGTCCGTTTAAAAGGCCTTTATAGCTAGAAAACCTCTAGACTATTTCTCCCGTGGTTTCAAACTGTTAGATTAGCTGCCTAACGTTTAACCTCTTTGCTTCGCCGCCGTGCGAAATTAATTTCAGAACTGCTGGACGGTTTTAAATTAATGTATTTCGGGAGCTGCAAGCTTGCCTGTTAACCGCTTTCTGACGAAAGGAATTCTCAGAACCATAAGCGTGTTTTTAAATGGTACCAAAATCTGATATGGATGTGAATTCCCATATTTCAGTTATGTTCGTCCGGACCAAATCTGTGTACAAACGTGCACCGCCTCGAGAGACGTCTCGTATTTTATGTTTGTTTGTCTAATTGTAATGGTCGAATATTATTATCAATGTTACGGCAACATGATATATAATGACCGCTTGTGCGAATCTTAGTGGTTCGCGCTTTGCCTTCGTGAAGTCAGCCGCATACCAAGTTATGAATGAGAACTCCTCCCATTCATAAATCGGCTCTTCGAGCGCTCATTGACTCCTCGTCCACGTAACTCGTGCGCGCGCACGCATGCGTGAATGACGTAGTCACCACCCCAAAGCATAAGATCCGCCTTCAGGAGGCAGAGTTGGTGACGCGGTTTACTTCACAGGGCAAAACCACTCGCTAGCTTCTAACGACTAGCCTTAAAGAAAACTAACCCTTCGCGTCTTAATATTACCAAACTGTTAGCACAAGGCTAACCGGATGCGAAGCGTAACTCGTAACAACTTGCTAGCGGCTAACGCCAGCTAACGTTAATGCTTAAGCAAACCAACCCTTCACATTTTGTAACTAACAAACTTTAGCACAAGGCTAACCGAATGTGAAGTGCAACTCGGAAACATCTCCCCCTGTCTCCTTCTGCTCTCCTCACATCAGTTCCGCCCACCATTGTGTCTCAAGTGGTCAGAAATGGTCAAACAGTTTGGAGTTAATTTGTTTTAATTTCGATTAAGCATTTTATTTTCCCTGTTATCATTTTATCCAAACAATAGTTTAGTTACCTGAGTATAGGTTATTGGTCTGTTTTTATTTCTTTTGGTATTATGAATTATTTTGTTACTTTCAATTTTTTTATTAATTTTCTGCCTTCTGTCTTTTTCATTTTAATACCGTGGTCCAGTTTATTTTGTTATTACTGGATTTTTAATCAAGTTCCCAATAATCTATTCTACACTTAGGTCATGTTTAATTTTAATTTTGTTGGTTTTGCTATTTGGGAAACAGCCTTTAATCTCTCTATTATTATCATTAATAGGCATAATTTTTCTTCCCTTTTGATATCATTCCATCTTTTCCTCATGCCTTATTTATTCCCTCACCTCTTAGGTTATAGGGAAAGTATAACTATATTAGGGCAAGTATTAGTCTGAAGCTAAATTCAGAGCTATCAATCTATAGATCCCACATCCGATCAAAACATGTTGGGCTAACCCATTAATGTTTGTAGATGCCCCTGAATTCTAAGGCACTCTTTCTACTTTTTCTAAGCCGTCCTGTACTGCTTTTACCTATAGGGGATTATTATGATTATTCTTTTAGATTCTTTTATGCCGATTTAATTTTCCTTTAGCCTCCCTCCATCACAGGGTGATAACCTTCTCTATCCATCAGATACTACAGCATACTAAGATTCCTACTCCAACTGGCCCGCCCAGAATAGTAGATCCATAGTACTGCCCGTATCCGGACCCGAGTCCTCTGTGCTTGTGTGGTTAAGTGTACAGGTTATTCAGGTTGCAGATCAAAAGATTGGGTTCATCTGTCTGACATAACTGACCCCTGCTG